TTTATCCAGCAAAATATAAGCGCTAAAATAATAAAAGTGCGGCACGTGAGAAAGATACTTTTATTTTGAATGCTACAAGGTTGTAAAAGAGCTTTTCTAGAAAAGTAAGTGCATTTTTGAGCTTTTTGAAATTTATATCAATCAATAGCCACCAATGACTTAGAAATAAACTTTGTTCAGCGAATTATGAGTGCGACAATTGCAAAAGGACGCAGAGCGTGTGAATCGTTGTTTTCGGTGCCACAGCGCTGTAAAAATGACTTCTTGGAGAAAGTGCATATGGCATTTTCCCGAGATTTGGGCTCTTGGATGATAACCGAAAGTGCAGTGGAAAGCTATCTCCCGGTGGACAAAGATTTTTCGTAGGAATATTAGTAATCATTCGAATGCTTAAATTTTTGACTGTTGTGCTACGTTTTCATTTTTTGAAGACACCGTTTTATAACGCTGCAAAATTCGAAATAAAATAGTATTAAACACCGGCCGCATGCTTTTACTAATACTTCGCTGGAAGCACGAAAAGCATAGCAACATGTAGAAAAAATATTGTAGTATCAACTGTCATGCGTTTTACCTGGACTTTCTTATCAAAGTAGAAAAAAAATTCACAGTCGAATGACAATAATCGCACTTTACATGTGACCCGCCAACATAGTCCGATCTATTGATAACAGGTCGCTTCATCGAATCTGTGACCACCAGATACCCTGAGCTTGGATTAATAGGCAGGCAAACACGCCAGTTATGTAAATCGTCGATCATATTTTCCTTCTTTTCAGTGTACTGCGGTAAAACGACCTTTCCACAAAATAAGCAAAGCACTGCAATCGTTGAATCTTAGGCTATCGAATAATTACTCATGGTCTGAAGGAAGAGTTCTTCCTGCGAGAAGTGTGCTCCTGTAAAATATAAGTGTTTCCCTTTCGCTGAAACGTTATAAAAAACCTTCTTCAAAAAATGGCTATGTGGCGATGTAACCAGAAATTTAGGCTTTCGATTGATTATTGGAAGTGCTATGGAAAGTATTTGATCAGCTGGAGGGGCTGTTTCTTTATCTCGCGCCGTCAAACGGAAAATTACCAAAAGTCTTCATACAGTAAAATCCGCCTTCAACTTTCCGTGCTGAATAAAATAAAGGAAGTAAAAATTCCTTCAAGTGCTATATTAGAGAGATACTGGCATCTTAGCGTCAGCTTAACTTATTCATAAGTATTTACGTATATGGTATATTGGGAGCTGCTATAAATCCGATTTCTTTGATAATTCAAATCTAAGTGGAATAAATATACCAAGTCAATGCACTGAGCCCCATTTTGGCATTTGTTCTTCTCACAGTCGTCGATATTCACTTGACAGTAATCTCCCTTGAATCCTTTTGCGCAGAGGCACGTAAAGCGGCCCTCTTGTATCACCTAAAATCACCAAACTTGTTTTCTAACAAAATTAATCTTTTCAAGCACAATCGTTAACCTTCTATAAAAGGAACACATAAAGATCATTGCATTTAACCAAAAGAATATTCAACAATCTTTTCTTTTTCAACGATATCACCCAACTGTATAATCCCATGTGTATGTAAAAATTGCATGTGTAGTTGAGCTTAGGAACACTTTTCTTCGTTCAACGAAAAAAACATGCGAGAAGTCTGAATTCTTGTGACAGGAACTGGAATATAAATGGCGTATAATTAAGATCGGATCGTGTATTGCATAGTAATGATTTCGAATATCACAAGCACAGTGCTAGTTCGACATGACCGCGGTTTGAATTCTCTCATCTTTTCGCTGTCGGAATTTTAGGACCGGGTTGCCTGGGAAAATGTTCGTTCTCTGAAAATTTAAGTGAGGACGTTATAGCTATCTGTTTTCGAGAATGCCAGAAGAGTCGACTTGCCCAGCTTTTGACGATATTCATGGCAAAAGTGGAATTTTTAAGCAAGGGCCGATTGCATATGCAAGAAATTGAGATATTTGTTGTCAGTAGATGCGTGGAGACGAAGAAAATACAAAAAGGCTAAAGTTGCGTAGTTGTTAAGAAAGGCGGGCCGTGACGACAGTTTAAGTCCGTTAGTAGTAACAATTACATGAAAAGAAAGTTGTGGAATATTCGAAATATCGCCAAAAATATGGATAGGATAAAGATAAGACTAACATAATGAGATTGTTACTCACCTTACAGACAGCGTTGTTAAGGCAAGGATGCCCGTAACAAGCATCCACTTTGTGCTCACAGTGTTTTCCATAGTATCCAGACGCACAATTACATTGGTAACTTCGACCACTTATAATCTTACAGCGAGCACCATTCTTGCATGGTTCAGCAAGGCATTTGTTGCATTTCAAAGAAACCCATTCGGGTAGTGCTCCAATGCACCTTAAAAAAATAGGAATACTCTTTGCAACAATAGTGCGACAATATCTCCATTTTGTGAACTCGAGTGTTGCCCATACTGAAATTGATGGGAGCGAGCAGTGAGGAGTAAATGATTTGCCATAGTTATAGGAGCGACGCAGCGTGCGATACCAGCTTCGACAAATTTTGTCTTGATCCAGCGAGAGAACCATTCCATTCGACAGTCACAATAAAGTGAATTGCTGCCCACAGCTCTTAAAAAACATTCAGGAAGAAACAAGCATTTTGCTTTGATAAGAAAGGAAGAATATTTATTTCACATACATGTGCGTGATGTTTCCAAGAGTTTCAAAAGCAGTCTTTGGTAAAAGTGAAATATCATTTCCATGTAGGGACAGAATCCGAAGTGAATTTAAGCCCGCGAATGCACGTGGTTGAATGCACTGAAATTTTCGATCGCTCATTGGTAAACTCGAGAGGAAGTATTCTAAATAATGAATTTCATCGTGAACAAAGCAAATAAACTTACTCTAATTTTATTATACGAGAGGATGAGTGTAGACAAATTAGATAAATTGGCAAATGTATCGTCTTCAATAGACTCCAGAAGATTGTGAGACAAATCACTAAAATCGTGGTAAATGTGTGCTTGTTACTTCTGAAAAGCAACTAATAACAAGTCTATCCTTACAGTTTTACTAAGTTGGCAAGTCTGCTGATTTGGTCAGCGGTAATTTCTTCAATATTATTCGAATCCAAAAACAGTTCCGTAGTATTAGAAGGAAGTACAACTGGGAATGATTTAAAATTCTAAACAGAACAACGTTAGCCATGTTCAGACACACTTCTACAGTTGAGTAGATTGAGTTTTTACTGTGCCCTTAAATGTTCTCAGAATACTAGCTGTTTATGTCTGGCAGAATTTCGAACCCTGTTCGAACATCGAACAACAGTGTCCTGACAGCTGCATCCTTGTGGACAGTAGTCTTCATCGTCAGTACAGACGCTTTCAGATAAATCTAAAAAGTTAGAATTACTCATACATACTTGCATTCGTGGATTCAAAAAAAAACCTGAAGCACTGCATATCTTCCATCTTCAGATCATGAACGTTTTTTCCCTTCAAATCTAGCGGTCCTGCGCATTGACCAGCATCCACTGTCCTTGTGGTGTTCTTTCTTATCCACTCGATTAACGGCAAAATTTGGCAGTCGCAAAAAAAATTGTTACCACTAAGTTCTCTGTAACAAGTGCTAGCACTCAAAACCGTCTCAAATAAGAGACAAAAGCTAACCTACAGTTTATGCAGATGCTTTAGTCGCTCAAATGTGTGCGGGGTCATGCATCTTAGTCGATTATCAGAGAGTAACCTAAACGTTTAATAATAATAAGAGTGGCACATGATTAGTAAAACTATAGTGCCACTGTCATAAACCATAAGGAAGATTAGTACTGCAAATCTGTCTAAACATTTCTTGTAGTTTTCTCGCGACTAACTTAATATGATAGCTTAAAACAACATAAAGCGCAGGTCAAGATCAAAGGCATTAGTGCTGCATATTTTCTGCTCCTTATGTTCTGCTGGAAAGGAATTGTGTAAAAAAGAGCCTGGGTTACATTCTCGAAATAAAAAAATACTAAAAGATTGAAGGACGCAGTAGATTATAAGCCATATTCTATGGTATAATATACAGTACTCACATAACCTCTATCACATTCGAAATGCTGAATATGGCGCTAGAGATATGTCGCAGTTCATTGTAGGAGAGATTTCTGAAAAATCTATCGTTAAAGTTTCTATTTCATGTTTAACTACTTGTTGATTATATATACCTACGAGAATTAAGTGGTGAGGAAAAATATGACCTTACGAGGGAGTCGAACCCGCGTTTCCTCCTTGCCAGTGACGCGTTCTATCACTACACCATCGAGGTACTTTCGCACGATCATTCATTCTGCAATATCTCTATGATAACTGCCAGTCACCAACCTTTGAAAGGCTTGGTCAGGTATGCGATTTCGCATCATAAGCCTCGTTGAATGTACCCTTGCGGTGTAGTGGTAGCACGCGTCCCTGATATAATTAAAAAGCGGGTTCGACTCCCGTCTGGTGTACTATTTTGTTCACCACTCTGTTATATATATAAATATAAATATAACTGTAATTATATATATATGTTATATATGTGAAACATCACAACACTGCGAAGAATCAGTGAATGTACTCAGAATAGTTCACATAATTTTTTGTCCAAAGAAGAGATCAAAAAGTATTGTATTTTTTCTGAAAGTCGAAAATTTGGATAAACTTGTCGCCCGCTGCACTATTCTTGCGCAAACTGACTCGCACGACTTACTTAGAAAATGGCAAGCACTCTCCAAACAAGGAACTGCTGAATCAACTGAAAACGCTTCAGTGCACCTTCGTAGAGAACTTAAGATCTATCACCTGTCACCTGTCTTTCCGACTGCCGTTGAGTGACTCGAGCGGGCACTAGTAGGGCTTTCATTTACACTATCGCGCGCAAGAGTGACTCAATAGACTTCTTTGCTCTAGGAAATCATTGAGCGCCGTAACGACCAGGTTTCTGAAGCCTACATCGGAGCGAAGATGTTCGTAGCGTAGAAAGAGTCGTGAGCAGGAACGGGCGTCGGAAGTGCAACGGTTCAGCGCGCGCTACCGGAACGAGTGAGATCTGAGTTCGAATCGCAGCTGATGCAAACGTTTTTGCACACTGCGCTACACTATTGGATAGGCGTTGAATCAAAAAAGTGGGTGTGAAGCTTGGTGTTTTTGTTCTTTTCACTTTATTCCCAACACTTGGAAGCTCCTCAAGCCAATTTTTTCCTTTTGCTCGACTCTGACCAAGGTTGGGAAGACGGTATCGTATTGCCGAAGCCTCTTCTTACGTCAATAGTATGTTGTTGTGGAGTAGTTATATTTGGTTGTAAGAATTTTTATACAGCTCACGAAAAACCTTCAGTGTATTGAGTAGGCCGCCCTGGCTGTCAGAGCCTTTATGACTGCCTGAATTTGAAATGGGTCAAAGGCCTTCTTTATATGTATGATAGAGAGGCAAATCGGTCTCATGTACTTTTGCAAAACGTCAATAACTTTTGTTTATCGTGTGGATGTGAGCTATAGCACTGAAGTCTTTTCGAGTCCATCCTTGTTTGCATGACCGCACTTCGTTAATGTATCAATCTTGTTTAGGATCGAAGAATTTTTAGACGACGGACATTATGCAAATTAGGCTACAAATTGCCTATATCGAGGTCTCTCTTTTGAAAATCTATCACCTGTATCACCTGTCGTCCCGTTGATCGTCGAGTCGACTCGAGCGGGGGTACCAGCAACACTTCGATTTTTCACTATCGCGTGTCAAGAGTAGCCCAATGGGTCCTCCTCGCTCTAGGGATTCGCTAAGCATCATATCTTTCTTCTATAGCTTTCGTGAAGAACTCGGACCAACGGGTCGGCGGTCTTCCTGTAAGTGCGCTTGATGTCTCGAGGAATCCAGTCGGTAAACGGCTCTCGTCCATCGGTTGTCGTTGAAGCGCATAGCGTGTCCGGCCCACCTTATTTTCGATATCCTGGCGTGAAGATTATATATATATATATATATATATATGACAATTTTTCATTGGCTGAACTCTTGCGCAAACTTCTAAACAATCAATTGAATGGAGGAATTGTACTTCGACTAGATTCGAAACTTGGCAGATCGATTGCAGAAAGTCGTAGAAAACAATGCCTTTAGTATGAAGAGTAGCTATTACTTTTTTGTTTGAAATTCATACATAAGTTATCAACTTTTTACAAGTGCCCAGAACTTTGTTTCCGACCTAATAGCTGTCTGAGTTCTAAAGAGAGGACCGCTGGAACGACAAATTCACCGCTTTTAAACATATGGCTGTAAGTGGACGTGGCCATTGCAGAGATCCGATTAATAATCGTAGATGACTTTCTTTGTTGCCATTCTAAAAGCTGTAACTGTTTCGTAGGCATCGGAGTGCAATTATCTCGATCTAGTAATTGGTAAAGCTTCGAAGAGCTTGATAAGGCTTTTTACAGCTTCCTCAGCTTCAGCTGTAACTGTAACTCCTCTCTTTTTTCAATCTCTTTTATAGCTTTCCTGCAGCGTTTTGCAACATCAGACATGAGGCTTGGGTTGTCTGCGGCTCATGCAATTTCAGATTGACTTATGAGCATGAGTAGTTGCGATGACAAGCAGTCTCTTCGTAATTCTCAAATTCTCGACTTTTATAGCGCGAGCATTAGAATGTTGGATGAACAGGGCCCCAATGATTTGGGATATCTCAGTTTAGTGCAGATCTGTGATTACGTTCTTTGATTGAGCGATTTTTCTCTTTCCCCTTAAAAATTCAAATGTTGCGTGAAGGAGGCGATGGTTTGATCTCGTGCAGGATTTTGGAGCAACGGCTACATCGGTCTGGTGAGAGCTTCTATTACTCAAGATGTGGTCTATTTCGTTATGGTTATATCTACTGAGAAACCCTCACGTCTACCGCTGAAAGCGGGGTTTTTGGATATGTGAACTCCCTTAAGTGGTTTTGGCCGTTGTGATAAACTCGGCGACCCTCACACTGTTCATTCAGTTGTAGTCCGTGATGCCCAATGCAGTGTTTTTCGAGAGCTCTTCTATGCAGTTTTCGTACTAGCATTTCCGAAGATAGCCTTGAATAATGTATGATCATCAGTAGAACTTTTCTAGGTCCTTACAAGGTTCCTTGAGTTCGCCCTCGTCGTAACTTGATGTTGATAAGTAAGCAACAGAAGATGACTGAAGCTGGTATTAATTCACACCATTTCAACTGCAATAATCTGATGAGATTGTAAGTTATTTGAATAAGTCGATGCTGATGGTCAAACCCTTTTGACGAGAACACTAAAGCCGTCGATCTCTGTACTATGGCATGTTCCAACAAATAGTTCATCTCTGGCGCCGAAAATGATATGAAATGGGTGGTGTCTTCTCGTCTCAGCCAAGCCGATAATGTCGATAATCACCCTTTTTGATCACATCAATACATTTTCTATAAAGAATTCACATCCATCTGTATATCCGTTATATGTGCAGATTGGGACTGTTCTCCATTGCGATTTCGGCAGCCTAGTTTGGCCCTGAGATTATGTCAGCCTTTCGTAGTCGTCTTTCGTGGCGTTGTCGTACGAGGGTCCTTTCGGAGTATCGGAAATGAGGTTCGTTTTCGAAGGTACGGGTAGCTTGCCAGTCTCTTTCGGAGTGACAGAGACGAGCCTATTTGCTGAAGACGATTAAGTGTCCTCTAAGTATTCACAGAGCTTGATCACTGGTTTTTGGCCAACTTGATTTATAGTAATAAAGATATCTCAATATGGCGCTGCAACGCGGGTACTCTATTTTCTGAATCCATCTGTGTGTCTAGGAGGCAAGTAGCAGCTTTTGTTCTCTGATAATTTCCCTATCCACCACTTTGGGGGCCCTTATGACTAACTTGGCACGGATCTCTCGGTGAGGAATACCCGTGTTATGAGAATCTATAGCAATCAACGGATAGGTGCTAGAGCGCGTATTGAAAGATGTGCATTTCATAAGATTATCTATTTTATTACATAATCCGACATGACATATATGACTTTGTGGGGACCCAGGCACATCTTGAAATTGATTCGTTTCTTCTCATTCAACATGCGCAAGTGTCTCGTAAATTCTTATGTGTGGACAGGGTGTTCGTTAGAAATTTTTTATCTTTCTCACAATTTTCGTTGACGCTGAGCGAGTTCATCCTGTTTAGACATTGTACATAGTCATGCTACGGCGTTTCCGCTTGGATTGGCGGGAATATTTATGGGTGAGTAGAGCAGTCAGTGTAAAGGACGGGTCAGTACGTGTCAGCCCGTCCACAAAACTGTTGAGAGAACTTTGAAAATCAATTGTTGTGTTGGCATTAACGGGAGTACAGTCGCAACTCATGACAAATGTCGGTTTTGATAATTTTATGATTCTCGAAATCGATAGTATTTTCAATGCATTTCGCACTGTTATGATGTTTTCTATATTCGGAAGAGAATTGAGTGGTAAGCAAAAACACGACCTCAGGTGGGAATCGAACCCACGTTTCATCCTATCCGGGACGCGTGCTCTACCACTACACCACTGAGACACATTTGCCCCACCACTCATTCTTCAACATCTCAATGTTAGCTATCTACTGTTATAGTTACTACTGCAAAGCTGAACCAGTGGTTATGCCACATGATTCACTGCTGAAAGAACTAGACATAACAAATTCTACGAGCTCTGTACAAATGATCACTTTCTCTCAAAGCAAACAAATACGAAGGACTACTCTTTCCCGTAGCTTAAGAGAGAGAGAGAGAGAGAGAGAGAAGAAAAAAAAGTTCAAAAAGCGACAGCCTCTGCACCTTCAAGTGTGATCTATTAGATGTATTAGTCAATATGATTCTTTAGACATCCCATATGAGCTAAGAAATAAATTTTCAGAGAGCTACACTTTTATAACACTTTGGAAATTTACTAACAGTTCTCGCAACGAATGCATATTGGTCATGCTGCCCTCCTCTATAGCTGTGATCCTGTTCGAAGAAAGATCTCTGAAATGTGCAGATATCTTCATAGCAAGACAAGGCAGTGACAATGCAAGTATCATACAAAACGTACAACTTGACTAGATTTTGAAGTCTTTTGAGGCCACTTGAAGAATTAATAAAAGAGATTTTATTGTTGCTGAAGTTGAGCTCGGTTACAAACTGTGGTATTTCGTTCGGCACTTCTGTCAATCTCTTGTTACTGAAATTTTGCACTTTACTTTGAGGGATGTGTAAATAAACAGTCTAAAAACATCACATGGCATAATACAAATGGCCATCAGCCAACACTAGATTCATAAGCATTCTTCAAGCAGTTGCTAGACTCAGTAAAAAACTCTGCAGTAATCATGTACTTTATAAAACAAAATTTTGTGAATCAATAAGCTGTAGATCTTAGTCACTCCTATCATAAATTTATGCCCAAATTTAGAAAGCTGTCCGAATGCCTTGCTTATAGAAAATGTGTTTAATATTGCAGAAGCCATCAGGAGCAATACTATGACATTCTTTCTGTTCTACGACACATTTTCCTGTATGCTCTACATCTGGTTACTTCCTTCAGTCGATTCGTTCCCTACCATCATCATAAGGTCTAAGATACTCGAAAATTTGGAGTGTTGGCTTGACTGTCAATCGAGAGTTTCGTGTTTTGTTGGATGTCATCGGAGTAAAACCGAGTTTTCTCTTCCTACAATCTTCAATGTGTTCACTAAAGTGTCACCAGACCTTCAGTAGAAGGACTGTATAGAAAGAGACGGATCGCGAGGATCGACAAAAATTTCTCGACCGCAAGGAAATGCAATGCTTGATTGATCCCTTGCAACGTCGAACCAGGGGCTCTGCGTGCATTGCAGAGCATTAAGAAAAAATCAACTTTTCATTCTTAACAAATTTTCGACTCGGCTTCTCGCCTTTATATGCAGATCCGAAAGTGTTTATAACACCATTCATTAAATAGAATTATGTCGAAACGTCAGCCATTGTACTATTATCATGCTTCATCATCGTATTCTAAAAATATTCTTAGGCCTTCTCATAAGTTGTGGTACTAGAGCAGTAGACACCAATTTTGTTAGCCAGTTAAGATTATTTAACAACACTAATC